GATCACAACAACGAGCGGAGCGCCGGGCGGATAAAATTCAGCAAGTTGGCACAGTAGGGGGGGTACAGCTGGTGGATCTGCCAGTCATCTCGGTCAGTCAGTCAACCCGTGGCACCTGGGCAGCGGCGGGCCGTGACATGTCCACTAGGTGGGGCTGTTGTGAGTGACCCTCTGAAAAGATGATGTTCTAATTAAGAATAACCTCGTCATGTTATTGGCCTTCCCGTGAAAGTGATGTCACTGTCTTATCTACCAACGGTGAGGCATTTATAAACAATATGAAGCAAAGCAGCAGAGCACTCAAACGCTGTCCCCATGACCCTCAAGTCCACATGACACAACCCTTTTGACACTGCCAAAAGCCTAGAGAGTGTATAGGCTGACCAGATACATTTGCACAGTGCCACCTCGCGTTGTGACACCGTCTCAGTACAGCCGCCTGGCGCCTTATTCACCGCCCTAAATGGGTCTCAAACGGCGTGGCTACAATGCGAAGCTCATCGCAATGAAGGAAGGGGGATATCTCTCACTCGGGCGCGCCGAGACCTTCCTGAGGCATCCTCATCAGACTGTGATGTTGCAGCGGTTTCTCATACGAACAACTTGAAATGTTATCTTCATGAGGCAACTCACGTTGGCATCATGTTTAGATTTGTATTGTTTTAAACACAACAACAACATTCATAGAAAAGTATTTTTGTTTATTAGAAAAATTATTTTATCATCTCCAGCTGCTCGGTGGGGCGGCGCCCCAACGCCCCTAGTGGACGAAGCGCGCCAGCACCTGGGTCTGTCCCGAGGCCTCCTCCTGGGACTGTCCCGATACCTCCTGCTGGGACTGTCCCGAGGCCTCCTCCTGGGACTGTCCCGAGACCTCGTCCTGGGTCTGTCCCGAGACCTCGTCCTGGGTCTGTCTCGAGACCTCCTGCTGGGTCTGCCCCGAGACCTCCTCCTGGGTCTGTCCCGAGACCTCCTCCTGGGTCTGTCCCGAGACCTCGTCCTGTCAGCGAGCCTTCGACCAATTCACGTGGCCCCAAAATGCACCTGGCCTGGAGCAGGCGCCGTGGTGACGAATGGCGGGCATTGGTTTGAGAAAACTTTTACGGCTCGTCAGTGTGGGGTGGTGAAGGTTGTGGGGGTTCAGATCCTACTTGCCACTGACTGATGGTGGCCGTGCTTCGGAATCAAATTCAGGTCATTGGGTTCACTGCTCTCGCTTTCCGGATGTTAATACGAGTGGTGATAACCGTGATAAAGTTGAGGTCAAAGTATCCTGCCAAACAACGGTGGTGTCCATCTCCCATGGGGACTTGGTTGTAAAGCCAGTCATGGAAAATCCACATTCTCACGGCAGGGCCATAGTCGCACTAACGTCGGCTTTCCCCGGAAGCTGATACTTATGTTATTGACGACGGTGTTGTGGGATGGGGAAGTTTCGGGGCTCGTGTTAACTCACAGGATTTGAAGTCGCAACCTCATTGCGTGCAGAACGCGCCATTCCATAATATTTATTTTGGGGGTTCGTTCGCCTTAATATAAATGTGTCGTTAAACCCGCCACCACCCGATACAGCCAATTAGTAAGGTTTATGGATGATATTGGTTGCAAAAACACACGAACTGCACAACTAGCATATATCAACACACACGAACAATACTTGGTACTGATGTACCAAAACACGGTTTCACAAATTCTCAAGGAAAATGTAACAACACATTTTTTCACCCTTTTGATTCCAAAAGCAACGAGAACTTCACACTCTTTGCTTCGCTGTACACATTACCCAACGTGCCCTCATGAGCAATGAAGGTCACGTGACCACTCTTCCAGCTCCACTTACTTTAATGTGTTTTTTTCTTTCTGCCAGGCAAAAACTACTGCGCATATTATTATTACACGTTAACTTTAAATGCCACGAACGATTCACGTTATATATATCCTACACCGGGTTGAAAAGCACCTAGTCGGGGCCGAGCAAAAGGTGGGAAGATCAATTTATTTTTTTGTTTCAAGTGAATCCGCGGGCACGATGAGGAGTGTGGAAATATGTAATTCGCCTACTTGCTCTGTGGGCTCGCGGAAGTCGGTGGCTTTACTTGTCACCGCTTATTAATATAGAGTCCAATAAACCACTGAGGCTAAGTGGCAAATGGACCAACGGCATGGCTGCACACACATCAATGCATTTAACAGTGAAATGTTACAAATTGAATCTGTGTATGAATTAATACGCATTCGGCTGTTGAAAAATAATGAGACCTGCACGAGAGGTGTGTGATTTTTTTTCTTTTCAAATCGCTTTGCTGGTAGGTTGGATGTTGACCTGTTTTGGCAGGTGGAGAAATTGTGAATTGAACGGTATATATGTATCGGGGTCAAAGTTCAAGGTGAGTGTGGGGTGACGCTCATCTCTGTGGCCCTAGAGCCAGGGGAACAAACCACTGTTATTATTTTATCAAATCGGAAAGGATGGGATGGGCTGAACTTATGACATTCAGCCTCTTAAGTCCAGTGTTCTGCCACCATCGCAAGGTATGATATTCGCAATCATCATTGGTCAGGCATTTCATGTTTTCTCATGGCTGACGTTGATGTAGAGCAGCAACTATAATTTTACATCGAGGTGACTGAGGCAGATATATAATTGGTCGGGCCAGGTATGTGGTGGGGGATCGAAGACCGGTTCAGATTTCGTTCAGCACAGATGTCAGCCGTGGTTTGGAATTGAACTCGGGTGACTGAGGTTATCGTACAGTGTGTAGAACACCGTGTACCAACCCCCCCCCCCAGCCTCACGATTCATGTAAAAAGTAAAAATCAGCTTCTGGGACTGTCATAGAACACGCATCAGGGCCAACTCCAGTGGTTTAACTGGCAATTAGACTTCCCACTGCTCTTTATCCACAAGCCCCCCCCCCCCACGATTCCCCACTGTTTTGATGGAAATGAACTGGTGCTGGAACATCCTTGGGTCATTAGCATGGGTCATTATCAACGCATCGTGAGACATCATTGTGTAGAGTTACAAGGCAAATAGTGCACAATCTACAAGTGAGCTTGAATAAGTAGAGAGAAGAAAAACATGTATCTTTTAAGATTAGAATGTTAAGATCAATATGGCACGTTATTTGTTTAAATGGTCACCCTCTACTAAAATACTCTTGTTACCCAGTACCAGTGGGCCCGAAAGCTTTCTAATGGAAGCAGCACAGAAGTCACATTGGTTGGTCCGGAGGCCTTGACTGCACCACTGCCTTCACAGCCTCATCACTGTCGTGCCACCTACCGCAGTACAACTGTTTTCGTTGGCCCGCACAGATGGGAGGTTGAAGGGGCTTGGTTTGGACTCTGTGATGGATGCTCCAGAACGTCCCATTATCCAACCTTTTCCATCAATGCCCCCAAACAACTTTCATCGTCAACTCTCCGGGCAAAAAGGATTGGGACTTGTTTTATTTCCTGCATAGGGGATCTGGGCGCTTCTGTCGAGTTCTCCTGCACTGACCCTCCAGTTGACAACAATGGGTGCGAGTTTCGTCAGTGAGACATCAACGGTGGGAGACGCACAAATGCGTTTCCGTCGTGAGGGAATTCTGGCTGATAAAGCATTACAAATGCAATTCCTATACGCTTTATGCCCTTCAGTTATAATTACAGAACCAAACAGATGCCCACTTTTCGGGATAGGATCTTGTCATTGATTTATTGAGTGAACTGTTCCCTCACTTACCCTAATGATGGCTGACATGTGCTGAATGTCTTCTCGCCTGTCATCTAACATTAATCTCTGAACGACAGCGACGTTCTCCTGGAGTTGAAGTATCAACTGGACAACGACTTACATTGTCATCTCAAACGCGCTCATGTCCCGATTACAGACATTGCACCCACTTGTAAGCACTGCCACAATACGCACATTCTGCCACCATATTACAACGTCACTGTTAATTACACTTCGCCTGTCTTCACACTGTCAAAGTACATATAGACAAAATAACAGTCCGCTGTTCTTCTAATGTGCAGTGTGTGCAAGGGCGCCACCATATTTGATCTCGTGATTCATCTGCCATCTAGTGGCCTAAATCTGAAAAAAATATTGCCCACGAGTTACAAGGATAAATGCACCCATTAATTACGCAACTTTTACCAATTTAGGTAAAATTTGAAAAGTAAGGTTTTTGGAGGACTCAGGCAAAATGTCAGATGAGGCCCCATAGGAAAGCAACTTCTGTGGCCCGCCTGGACCTGAGGCCCAGGGAAAACTCTCCGTTCCCTCCTCCATCCCCTCAACCCTTCCCCTGCAATCCTGTTTTAAAGGAAATATTGTAAAAATGTGTTGAATAAATATGTATTAAAATCAACAGTGACATCCGTGAAAATGATATAATGTGATTGATGATGTTGACGATGGTGTAACTTCATCCACCTGAAGTACAAACTACGCATCCACATGACGGGGACCCGACCAGACAAAATGACAAGCACGGTTGGTTTGACCCAGCTGGTGAAAGTAATTTTAGACACCCCAGAATTATAATTATGGTGATTGATGATGCTGATATCTTACGTTTAATAATTGTAATGTGAACGCACGACTGATGATACAACACACTTATTCACTTTGCATTTAAAAAAAAAATATTCATATATATTTTTTGCCCGTGTATGTATTGCATATCATATTATATATTGTTCTCATAACCTTTTAATGCATTTCAGCCGTGCACACTCCAAGCAATTTTTCATGAGCCCAACGTTCAACTCGAATGCGCTTCATTCACACTCGTGATTCGCAAAGTTCCATGAAAAATTCATCTGACATTAATTTTGAAAGCGGCACGGTTTTCATGCGCGGCGCAGGAGACACACGGGGAGGCAAGGCGGGGTGCATCATGAGGCGGTTCCTTCAAAACTGCTCCCCTCTCTCATCTCCCTCTCCCGTGGTGTCAATAACACAACAACAACAACAACTAGAAGGCCTTGGTGGTTGAATTACTCACCACGTGTTCCACCGATGCACAGCTTCTCTCAGAGACGCCACGGAAACCCTGCAACAACAATAATAACAACAACATCATCAGCAGGTGCCGTTTTCGATCCGTAGGTTGGCAATCACGTCCTTCCAAGCTTCCATATTTTCTGCCTCCCCTCCCAGCCCTCTCATGCATCATGTCCACTGCGGTGGACAGCTATGATTTATACGACTGCTTTGAAATGACATGAAAACATTTCAACATATTTGCGGTGGGGGTTCCTCCTTTGACTCTTCAAATAGCATTAAACACAAAAAAGTGTTGGTTTTCATTTTAAATAATTCTTTCATGAATGCCTGAAACGGTCTCTGCATAATAATGATTTGGAGTTGATCATTCTTTGATGTGATACATCCACATTTCTCATGGCCTACCTCTTGCTTTCTTTTGCTCCACACTTCCCCCCTTCCATTATTAAGAGGCATCTTCCCACTGGAGCAACTCCGCGTGTGTCCTGCAAATGCCCCCCTCTGTGTATGCGCGACGAGTTGTTAAAATTCCGATGCTTTAAATGGAAATTCCTTTTTTTTACTTCCTCATTAAGTTCATCCTTCCGGTCCAATTTTTTTTCATTCTCCTCTAATTCCACAATTCAAAGCGTCGCAATCAGTTCCAATTGCCTTTAGTGAGAGTCCATTCACGTCCATCACGTGACAACAACAACAACACAATTATTACATCTATTTATAGGTAATAATGGATGTGGCGCAGTGGTTAGCTCAACGCGTCATGAACCCGGTAACCTCAATTCAATTCCCGGCCATGGCCAACATCGATAACCCAGGCCACTCTCGCGAAATGAGACGATCCTTGTCTCGTGAGTTCGCACCTGCTTAAACAAAATAACCTCGAGTGATAGCGAGTGATATGCTGGCCACCTCCCTCCCCTTTATCAACCCACACTGACCAGGCTAAGCAACCTCCATGACCCGACACAGGAGCAAATTGCCAAAGGAGGGGGGTCAATTACCAATGTTATTATTATGATTATTATTATTAAATACGAGACTCGTGTGTGATGTATTGTATTTCTACATACGTGACTTTACCGAAAAAAACAATTTTATGCAGTCACGAAAGCTTTAATACTTTATTATGTACAGCGATGTCCCACAAATTATATAAGGTCAGGGAGCGTGAATTCCATCTTAAAATGGAGACAATGACCCAGAGATCCGTCAGTGACACGAGTGTGAGAAAATTGACCAGAGGTGGGGGAAAACAATGAAATGAGAAGTAATTAAGGAGGTGAGAGGACCACAGTGCCGAGCCGTAGGTTTCAGTCGCGATCTGTGGCTGTGCCCCCTGGTGGTCGCGGGTGGCTCTGCTGCCGCAAGTGGCGAAGTCAACGATGTTATCGGCTCCGGAAAGATGCGGCAAGCGGCCAGTTGGGGCCCCCCAATATTTTGATTTGTCTCGCACGGGCGCACCCTAGGGCTATTATATATCGCGGCTCCTCTTGCCTAATCGCATCATTAAGCATCTTCATAAAAACATAAACCGCGTTTTAAATACGTTAATTGTTCGTTTGCACTGTTGTTGAAAACATATCACGTTGGTTGTCAGAGGGGCTCCCAACTCGTTGCTTTGGCTACCAGGTCGGGGGGGGGGCGGGGGGCAATGCACCTCCTGTCCCCACGCTCGTTACGCTACTGGCTGCTGCTGATTGTGACGCTGTGTATGACGTCAATTGTTGTGCAAGGCGCACATGCAGCAGTACAAGCAGTGGCCTCGACGACGACAAACTGCACGCGGTGCGAGATGGACGGCAGGCACCGCGGTCGCAAGGCCGCCAGGAGTTCAGATTCTCGCCAGGGATCTATTCAACTCGTCATCTCTCTGAATGTCGATGGAATGCATTCCACTTTGTGGAACGGTAACATTGTCCATAAGAATGTGGGGTTTCTATGAGTGTTCGAGGGTATGCTATGGGAAATAAGCACCGCTATGCAATTGATTCGGGGCAAATTCACGTAAAAAAGCATTCCTCCACTTGTTCGTCTTTTGTTTGTTAATCACCGCCGAGTGGTTTCCAACTTTGCACATTAAAAAAAGGTCACTGCTTCCAAGCGTACACAACTGCATTTGGGATTTATGCTTGCAGCTGTGTTGTGGAGTTCATACCTCGACGACTACCCTTATTGATGATTATTATTCATAACGAGACCTTAACGCCAAAATCAAAGCCACGGATTCCCCAGTTAGGATTAGAGAGCAGAACGGAGAGCGTTGTTAGCGATCGCCTACGAAGGGCGGCGTGGCGCAGGAGGATGCGTGGATTGTGTGGCCAGCCACCGCTCCAACTACATTTGTCTCCCCGCCGCTGATGTTCTCACACAGCGCCAGCTACTAGGGATGCGCTCCACATTTTCAGATTTAATTCAGAATAATCGGAAAAATTAAGGCCAAGATACGACGTTTTTGGACGACTCGATTATTTGTGTTCCGGTTTGTTCAGCGGAAACAATGTCACGAGGACACGCGTGGTCCCCCAACCCTCCTGCTCTGGTCACTTGCCCACCTAACCACCACCCCCCCAATCCACTCCCCCCACACCTCTACTCCGGCACCGTCGTCTGTCCCATTCTGAACCCAGACCGACGCCAGGAATTAGCGGCTGGGTACACTCGCCCCGCGGTCCATAGTCGAACCTCGTCGCAGAGAGACTTGCCAAGATTCGCATGCCGGGCACGCGACAAAACTCCTAGCGGCTCACAGCAACCGCGGCGGCTCAACGCAGCTCGCTCGCCCGAACATGCCCGCGGCCTTTCCACTCCGCACGCGTCCAGGCGAGAAAAGCCGGCGTTGTGTTTCCCTTCTCCTCCGCTGTGGGAAGCCGGGAGGCGCGCACACACACACACACAGAGGCCACTAATTCACACTCATAGCTGGAGCGGCTTCTAAACCAATCTCGGAGCGGTAGCCGCTTGCCGCGCCTTTTATTGTCATCGTCCTCGTCTCAAATTGCTTTCTAAATGCGGATGAAATTACCCTCTATTCCAGGCAAATGCCACTCTCGCTCGGTTCAGGACTAATTGTGTGGCAATTTTTTTTTTAATCTACGAAACTGAAAATAACTGTGTGTTGGCGTTTTCAGATCGCTGCTACCAGCCCATTACAATATTTTAATGTGGGGAGCGGTGGTGCAGTGGTTAGCGCACTGCGCTATAAACTCTTCGATTCCCGCTGACGGCCAACATCGGTGACGAATGTCTGAACCGATCCTGGGCCTCCCCTAGGTCCACTCAGCCTCAAATGAGTACCTGGTGCGGTGTGTAAACATCGCCAATGGATAGGCAAAGGCGGCCGGGTGTGTTTCTGGTCACACACCCCCTCGTGTGTCACTCCGGCACTTGCCCGAACAGTCTGTTAAGGCTATACGGGGGATCTTTGTTGTTTTGTTTTTAGGTCGCCGCTACCAACCCATTAAAATATTTTAGAGACCAACGCACTCAATTCTCACGAAGCGTTTTTCAAAAATAATACAACGCAGCGGTACAGCGGTAGCAAATGCGATGCCATTCGATGTGAATTGCGGCAATTTGTTGTTATCATTATAAGTTATTGCGGTGGAGTTAATTTTCCTATTCCATTCGGCTTTGCGCCGTTAGCTGAGCATTTCGCGACAAGTCAAAAGGTCGTGAGTTCAAAGCCCAGTCAGAGGTGAAGTTGGCCCATTACTCCTCCACAGTGGAGAAAACGAGTACTAATTTGAAGGATGTAAACAGTGGTTGCCCTTGTGGAGAGTAACCCTCCTGCCATGGGAATGTGGAATTAACACCGCCAATGGAAATGAACACCACGCCAAAGTGTGTTTGATACGAGACTCACTCTTGGGTTATTTGCATCTATTGAGCCCTTTAAATGCCGACTCAAACCACCATAGACTCGCTTCCCTTACATCTTCTGTGCAGGCTCTAACTTTTTAATCTGGCCTACTTCGAGATTTTCGCACTTTAATATTCTCATCTCTGACCTTTCAGGCACTCTTTCATCTTCCCTCCGTAGTCCCCACGTCTCTGCCCCGTAACGCAGCATTGCTCCGATCCACCACCGCTCCCCAACATTTTCCCCTTTGCGGTGTCAGTGGCATCTCTGTATCCCATGCCCCCCAAACTCCACGCGTGCCAGCCCGCCTCGACTCTCCCCCGCCTCGACTCTGACCGCCAGCTCGTACGCACACCTACTTCCTCACTCGCGGAAGGCACCGACACGCTGGAAACAACCGCACCCCCATTCCCGCTCCGAGCATGCCCGCGATCTTAATGTCCCCTCCTCATTTTTGCCCTCTCTCAGACTGAGCGATAGCGATTGAAGGGTAAGTCACAGAGGGAGGAGCAAAATCTACTTTCCGAGGCGTCAGAAAAAAAATGTACGGCAACGCAATGTCCCACTTCGCACTCCCCTTACAGTTATGACTACTCGAGCGAACTCGTGGCCCAGCTGTTAAAAAGCTACACGCACAGCTTTGTGTTAATCCACTGCTGGATGAGGGCCTCCTCACGAGGAGGTTGTTTGACCGTACTTCAACTACGCCGGTCGGCGCGGGTTCGCGAAGAAGGGCGGGCATAGATTTGAGGGCATGGAAGTGCAATACAATAATGGATTATGCTGCACTGCGCTCTGCTGCCCGCCACGTAGCCCGACAACCTACAGCGTCTGTTATTCAATACCTATCCATGCTCAAACCTGCTTAGCTTCCGAATCCGCGTGTTTTCCAGACGATTTGGTCGTGGGCAGTTGTACTGTATAGGTTTTTTTTTATATGATAACATTGTTGTTCATTTTTTGTGTATACACTACATTTATCAGAATGTGTCCGCATGCCCTGCTTTATTGACATTTTAACTGGTTTTTGATTCGAAGAGATTTGCATCCCCTGTATTTCGCCCCAAAGGTCTACGTCTGTCTCAGTGTGTCTCCGATTTGGTTTCAAGGCGAGCTAATTTATTCCACGTTGACTCTCATTTGAGCGCATTGATCCTTTGAGCTCGCCACGTAAAAAAACGAACGCG